TGCTTGAGGGCAGGTCTGAATGACTGCATCAAAACTTTCACTGAGACCTTCAGCTTTTGTGTTGCACATCACAGATCCTCTAACTCGCTTTCCCATCAGAAACCTGCGACTTCAACCCAGCAGCACATCCAACGTCAGTGTCTTGCTGCAGAGCTGAACACTTCAAACCTTACAACTAAACCTAGCCTTTACTCTGGAGTTTGCAAAATGATGGTTCTGTGAAAAAAAACGTAAAATTGATTTATATTTTTCGTTCCTGGACGCCAATATTCTTCTTTTTTTTGGTGTTTTAGTGATTTTGTTTTCCNAAAAAAAAGCAAAGCAGGACATTTCTGTCAATTTTACATGTCATGGATAAGACAGACAAGACTGAAGGAAGTTGGCTGGGTGCAAAGGCGATGGATGGATAAGTCATTATAACAGGGCTGTGGCTGCCAAACTGCCAAACAGTAAAATATTCGCTGGATTGAGTTTGTTTTTGTTTCAGATTTGTATCAGACTGTGAGGATCTTTCTTTACTGCCTCCTGTTTATGCTGAGTGTGTTGGGCAATGTGCTGATCATCACGGTGCTGCTGAGGAACAAGCGGCTGCGGACAGTGACCAACACTTTCCTGCTCTCCCTGGCGGTCAGCGACCTGATGCTGTGTTTCTTCTGTATCCCCTTCACCCTCATCTCCAACCTGCTCGAGGATTTCATCTTCGGGAGCGCCGTCTGCAAAGCTGTGCCTTACTTCATGGGTAAAAAAAATACACACACGCACACAAATAGCACGATCTGTAAAAAAAATTAAGCACATAATCTGTCAAAGCTGTTCCTCCTTTTAAATCCCAATTGTGATTATTCACTCGAGTGTAATTAGTTAAAGCAGGGAACCTTTTATATATAAAATATCTATTTTGCTGAATTTGGAGTTGGGAACAAATGGGACAGCCAGTGAAGCTTATTAAATCTAGATATCTGTTACAATAATAATAATCCTTCACATTTGATATAGCGCCATTGAGACATCTCAAAGCATTTCGCAGAATATACTGTAGAGTCAATTGACTATATTTTGTGGGCAAAATACGGCGGCCAATTGCACACAGCAGTGTCCCACAAACAGTCATGGATTGATTGATCAAATTATTATTAATTTTGTCAGTGCTTGATGTGATTTGGATATAATTCAGCACTCTGGGACCTTACCCTGCGTGAAGGGCACTATATAAATGCGCGTTGTTGTTGATGTAATTTTGTTGTTGTTATAAAAACTCACTAATTGTCAAAATCGACACAACTTTACCCTTCATTTACATGCTTCTCTCAGCCTGTTTCTCTGTTAGCACAAACCAATTTTATTCTCCAAAAGGCAGGAGGAGAGAAGCTGAGAAGCATGGCATCTCTGGAATCTTTATTACAACTGGATATTTATTAGCAGTCAGGCTGAACCGAGAGGCAGTACACAGCAATACAAAATAGCTGTTAGTATTAATGAATTAGGTTTGCTCCTTGGCTCTTTGTTTACACGCGGAGCAAAATAGTTCTCATTCTGATTAATGTAATGCAGCCACTGAGATTGTTATGTTGTTGTTGCCACATTTCTATTATGTTATTATGATATTATCACTATCCTGATAATAATAATAATGCTTGCATTTGATGTAGTGCCTTATCATGTCATCGAGATTTCTGATTGGGGAAGTGCAGGATTTAAATCTTGTTAGATTTTTTGGGGGCTGCAATTTTAATAATTATCTTCGGCTTGCTGATTTGGATTCATACTCAAAACGGTTGGCGAGCTTTTGATAAAGTTTCTGCGGGCAGAATTCTGTCTGGGACCGCAATTTCATTCATTCATCTGCTCTCCTACACCTCTGCCTGTGTAAATCCCATCATCTGCTGTTTCATGAACAAGCGATTCCGTATGGCTTTCCTGGCAACTTTTACTTGTGGCACCAAAAAGCAAGCACATATTCGGGAAATAGAGGAGGAAGCGGGTACAACTGGTAGCTCTATCTCCAGGTGTACCAATGTCAGTGTGTCAGCTCCCTGTTGACTGCTAAATACTACATCTGCACATAGTCTTTAAGTAAGGAATTTACACAAGTAGGATGTGTTTGTTATTTAGTGCCCCTGCATCAGTTGTTTATATTTACATGGAATGTAACTTTTGAAGGTATAAAAGGTATTTTGGTCTATTGCCTAAGTGTTGCTTCAAATATTCTACAAATGGAGTAATGAGGGTGAGCAGATGGTCTACATGGGAGAAACATTTAGTGTTCAACAACATTTTAAGGAAGGTATCCTGGCACCATTTGACTATTCATGCAACATTCATCATTGTTATTTTCCATTTCCCATGAAGTAGACAGGATTGGACCATTTATCAAGTGGTTTTGGTGCTGCATTGAAGAACATTAATAATAATCATTCAAAACTCCGCCACCCGTGTTCTCACCTGAACCAAACTTCGTACCCCAATTACTCCAGTTCTTACCAAACTTCACTGGCTCCCCGTCACAGAGCAGATCGACTTCAAGATCCTCACTCTAGTGTTTACATCCCTTGGCACCCCCTATCTCTCAAATCTCCTCTCTCCCCACAGCAGTACCCTTGGCCTCCGCTCTACTGGCTCCGGCCTCCTCCGTGTCCCCCAAATACTTTGCTCCACAATCAGCGGCTGTGCCTTCAGCCACTATGCCCCGAAACTTTGGAACTCCCTCCCTCAACCCCTTCACCTCGCCCCCTCCTTCCCCATCTCAGGTCGCGGCTGCAGACCTTTCTCTTCGAGTGAGCCTATGGTCACCTTCCCCTCCCCCGGCTCGGCCTCGGGTTCCGCTACTGTTAAGTGCTCTGAGACGGCGCCCGGCATGGAGGGCACTACATAAATGCAAGTCGTGTTGTTGTCTGTGCTTCGTCCTGCTTCATCTTGCTGTAATGTTTCAACACTGTGTTAATGTGCTAAATTGGGAGGGAATTCATGTTATCATTGTCTGAGATAAATTTTGCCATCGCAAGGAAGAGGATAAAATTACTGTTATGTTTGGAGTCCTGTAGCTCAGTGGTTAGAGCATTCACCTTGCAAGCGAGAGACCTGAGTTCAATTCCAGGCAGGGCGAAACCTTGGGCAAGTTTTCTTACTCCACACGCCTAATAATAATCCCTCCAAAACAAAATAATAAATTGGTCATTTTCAATCCACGACTGTCTGTGGGACACTGCTGTGCGCAATTGGCTGCCACGTTTCACCCACAAATATACAGTCAATTCACTTTACACATAAATTCTGTGAAACACTTTGAGACTCGAAATGTGAAAAGCGTTATATCAAATGCAAGGATTATTATTATTGTTGTAATCGTTGCATTTGATATACCTTATCACATCCTCGAGACCCACAAATAGTTGTGGATTGTGTGACCAAATTATTATTACTCTTAGAATTTTTTTAAGGGATTATTATCCCCAGAAAAGTGATCCGCCAATAGACTAACAAAGGGGTTCATATTTACTGTTAGGTAAACAGAGGCTTGAGGAGAAAGGAAACTTGCCTACGGTCGAGTTAAAAACTTGCAGAAGCATTTGAATTGTGTGTAATGCCTTTTTGGGGGTACTCTGGTGCTGCCATGGCAACCTTGGAGCTCACAAAACCATTTGCAACAGACACAAACAGGAAACATCTTCTCAGATGTCTTCTGAAGTTCTTTTGAGAAACATAAATTTGTAATTCAATCCTCCATCAGTCCAGTAGTGATTTGATTTATGTTGTACTTCTTAGCCAGTCTATGAACACAGAGAGCTTTACTTAATTGCTGGCAGATACAATTTTACATCTGCAAAAAAAATTGTCCTCTCCTGCACTAGGCTGCCCAACCCTATCACCCCATCCTGGCCCAACTCCACTGGCTTCCCATCACACAGAGGATACAGTTCAAGATCCTGGTCCTCACCTTCAAAGCTCCACGGTGTTGCTCCCCCCTCCCATCCTGTTCGCTCCCTCCGCTCAGCAGAATCTGGCCTGCTTCACACCCCCCATCTCACTCACCCCACTATTGGCAGGCGGGCCTTCCACCACTCTGCCCCCACTGTGTAATTCCATCCTGCAGTCCCTATGCCTCAACCCCTCCCTTGCCTCTTTCAAGACCCATCTCAAAACCCTCCTCTTCAACCATACCTTTGATCACTGCCCTTCCCCCCCCCCCCCCATCCAAACCTCAGCTCGGGTCAAAAACACTGTCTATCCAGCACCTTGGGATGTCCTCCCAACGTGAAAGGCGCTTTACAAAGGTAAATTTGTTTTATTCTGTGATGGGAATTCAGTGGAGTTGGGCGAGGATGGGCGATAGGTGTCGCGGAGGAGAGGACACGGGCTGCAGAGTTCTGGATGATCTGCAGACTATGGAGAGAGGAGTTGGGGAGGCCAACAAACAGCGAGTTTGCGTAGTCCATTCTGGATGTCATGAATCGTGTACAAGGGTTTCGACGGCCTGCCGTGTGAGACAGTGGCAGAGCCGGGCAATGTAGCAGAGGTAGGGGAAGGCAGAGCAGGTCATGGTATGGATGTGGGGTAGAAAGGATAGTTAAAAATAAATGTTTAATGGGAATTCATTTTATAATTTGGAAAAAATTGGAAATTATAACGAATGCCAATATTTGCTAAAAAAATTAGAAGCCAGCAAATCTAGTTATACCTTAATTAGGTGGAATGTCCTAAACATCTTAGCAATTTAACATTTGCAAGAATTAAATTTATACCACATTCACAGGGAAATGCATGGCAGCCAAGACCTGGAGACAAGAATTTTAGGCCAAGCCTACATGCTGCAACTCTGTCAAGGCATCAAGGTGCAGCTATCAGAATAACAGGAATCCGTAATTTATCTCCATTCAATTTTTTGAAAGAACTCTTCAATCATGTTGGATGTAATACAAACCCCAGGAATTGCGATGCTTTTGAAGATTTAGTCATTACAATCAGTTCCAGCCACACCACTAAAACACACTGAACACAACATTGAGTGCACAGAATATTTATTTCAGCCAGTGACTCGGTTCCAAGAGTTCACGGCTTTAATCAGTTTGTAGTGCAACCACGGTGCCCTTTTCGCTCACATATATACCATCCAGGAACTTCCTAATATCTTTCTTCCGCACTGTTGTTGCTTGTTGAATGAGAGCAGCTGAAGGTAAAACAGACAAATATTAGTACCGTAGTCTAGAGGTCCAGAAACAGTAAAGCACCAAGGAGGTAGTTTATCTGAAGGTTCAAAAAGCAATGTTAGTATAGAAAGCAAACAAAGCAATATTAGTACAACTTTGCAGATTCCAGGAAAGATGTTTGGTGATAGTTTCCCTTTAATAGTTGGTTCTACCACTAAAAATGATGCTTAGAAGACCAACTCCAGGGTCTAGACCAATCGCAGCCAATAGGCTAGGGTAGGGTAGGGTAGGCCAATCGCAGCACTTTAGCTGCAGCTCTGTCTGAGAACTATCGTAGCACAAAATTAGGATTCAAACTAATGATCGACTCGTCTGTATAGATTGGAGGTGATGTGTTCTAATACACTGGCCCATCAAGGGAGCCCAGCTCTTCTAAGTACCTATATAGGTCTTTTTGCTTTGGGAGAAATGTACATAAAAACCTGAGATTTCTGGATTAAATAATGCCTAATATGACCAGTTTCTACATTTTTTCTCCTGTATATCTGTTTAGCCAAGTCACATCAATATTAAATAGATATTAACCATCAAGAGGAATTTCCCATGTTCTCTCATCAGAATGGTCCAAAATGTAGATACTCCACAATGGAAACCAAGCAGGTAGAATGAACGCATGATTAAAATCGGTTTATCTTCTCGATACGTTATTCCCTAAGCACCTAACTACTCACAGCCTCTAACAAGGGACACTGAAGCAAAAGGCAACCATAATGCTGCCTTTATATTACAGCTTTACCAATAGCAGCATTACTGCCACTGTGGGCAAATCTTCAATGAAGGTGCAGCAAACTACCTGGAGGAGTCTGGAGCTTCAAACAGCAGTCAGTTGACTAAAAGATAGATTTTTATTTTATGCATATGCTAAGAATGGCATACATAAAACACCATTACAATTACTGCTAACTGGGCAAAAACTGGAACTTCCGGCAGGAAGCTGTAGTTCAAGCAGAAAGCTATCCTAATTAAGAGACTGGCTTCATATATGAGAGAGAAGGAATTATAGAAGGGGTGTATGTACCCTCATGTGGCCCATTTCTGTGCTGTAACAACCTATAAATTAGTCAATTCACTTTACAGTTTATTCTGTGAAGCACTTTGAGATGGTCTCAAAGCGATAAGGAGGTATATCAAATTATTATTTTATTATAATTGTATAAAAAAGGCCAGGAGGAACTGTATTTAGACAAATCACCTGCCACCATCGGCAAACTCTTTTAGAAGTTTATTTCCATGATTGCAGTTATGAAATAAAAAGGGAGAGGTTCAACAAAAAGATTTTTTTAAAAAGCGAAAGAAGCAAGGTAACAACTGAGATGTATTTTGGTTTAGATCAGAAGTTAGTCTGCTATTGTAAATGCTATTTTAAATTAGCTTGGGGAGGAAACTAAGTTTTTTTATTATTTTTTGCTAAGTGTTAATAAAGGTACATATTTTAATGTACAATTTGCTGTTTCATGCAGTTAGTAGTCACCTTACAAGAAGTTGATCACACACTTTAGAAAAACAAAGGATTACTGTTTGGTCGTTCTGGTGGTCAGAACAGACACACAACAGCAGTCCAGGTTGTTAAGGGATAAAATCCTTTTATGGGATCGGCTGATAGGACAAACCGAACAAACAGTAACTTAATATAATAAGGCACGTGTGTTAAACCTGGAAAAGAAAAATGAGCGGCACTGGACAGCTGGATCTGTCTATCCAAATGAAGACGTTCCCTCTTCATACAACTCCATGCATGCCCGTTCCAATGGAGAAGGGCATTTTCTAACCTGGAATCCATTGCATCTTTATGATGTGGGTTCAACAACTGTACCCTTCTCAGAGACGTAAATACCATCCAAGAATTTTCGGATATCCTTGTTTTTGACTGTTGTTGCCTGTTGGATCAGGGCAGCTAGAAGATAAATAACCCGTGCAGGAAAGTTAACAAAAAGAGGGGATCATGCAAATAAGATAGGGAAATAGGAGCAAAACACAAATCAAATAGCAACTATTATTTACCCTTAAGCTGATCAGTTACTTTGGTATACATTCCATCAGTACCAGCTTAAGGTTAAATATATAAAGCATTATTAAAAATCAATCCAGCTAAAAAAAAGTTAAGTTTCTCACATTGTTGAAAAAAAATTGATATCCAGAAGAGTTTTAAAAGCAATAATCACAGTGGTTAAGATGGTGATAAGAGTTAGCTGGTAATCCAGTGGTCTTATCACCACTTGGCCACACATTTTATCAAATGTAAACTTCATAACCATTCCTATTGACCAAATTTACAGGCGGGCTAGACATTTCCCTCAAATATACATTCACAATCTTAGTTTGTGACAGGTTGGCATTCATGAGCTTGGGGCGTACCTCACAGTCAGGAAAAGCATGAGTAAAATCAGGCTGTTCAGTTAGTTCCTTGAACCAGCTCAAGAGCACACCAGGAGAACAATAATCCAATGAAGACAAAAAAAACTATCCTTTTTTCTTTCAAATACGTATATACAGGAATAGGAGACACTCCCAGTCACTGGGCAGTGAGTAAATTTGGGCAGTAGGAATGAAAGCTGGGCAGTAGGAATGAATACAGGATAACCAGCAGAAGGAAACACACAGATAGCAAAATGTTTCTCTGGGGTAAAAAAAAACTTATGTATATTTTAATAATTTGCCCCTTCCCCCCTCCAATTCAGTTTGACCTAAAAAATCATTGAATTACTCAAACCAATCCTGAACTGGCAGTGTTTAAGAGTAACACACGTGTACAACTGCCTTGCTTTACACTAGGGCTGGTTTCTGTATACAAATTGTTAAATCTGTCAAAATTTTCAGTAAATGCAGAGCTGCCCCAGAAAACCATACAATCTAAATAATCACTTAATTTGGTACATTAAATTGAAATCTTGCGAAAGAAAAATCAATTTAGATTATATTCAAAGGCACTGGGAAGTATTTGAGTGGAATCTTTTTGAGTAGCTGCTGCAGTATTTTACAGTTAATTGGTACTGGAGGCAACCACCCGGAGAAACTAAAACACTGCAATAACCGCTCAGATCCAAGCTTCAAATACATGGCACTATTTGCTACGATTAAACCATTAAGCAGATCGAACAACCAGTCAAAATCCAGGACATTTCAACAGCCAAACACCTTGTTGATCTCCAGAAACATCACCTATGGGGCACAAACTGGTTTGGTTAAGTTCATATTTAAATTACCTTCAATTGGAAAGCTTGCAAAACCATTTGGAGCATATGTACAAACCTAAGTTATATATATATTTTATGAACAGACAGATAACTTATTCTGCAAACATCACGATTAAACCACCATTCTGCATAGCGTGCAAGTAACAGATTGCATATATTTCACATCACTATAAAAACCTTGCTAGAAACTAATGACATCCATGAAAATCATTGAGTAGACTGTACACACTTCAGCTTGGAACCAACTTCACAAGCAACTTATTCAATGGTTCTTTATATAAAACAGCGAGTTATTTTTAACAAACTGCTTTAATAGATGCAATCTCTTCAATCTTTCACAAAGCCAAGTCGGCTGAGGTGCAGTCACATACTAACCAGAGTTAGACACCAGTTCAACATCATTTCCCTCGAGGATCAGCTCGTCTTTCAACGCTTGAGAAACTGCGCAAGAAACACCTGAGGTGAAAAGGAGAAAGAAATATAAGTTATACTGGAAGTGGCTACATTACTTTAAAGCCTTAAACTGTACATTTTCCACTCACCGGGCTTCATGCGCACTCTACGAATGTACTTCTCGCCCAAGAAGTTTCGGATTTCTACAAGAGATCCCGCCTCCTGAACAATCACGTTGATGGGGAAGTGAGCATACACAGATCTCATCTTGTACTTGAAGCCCTGAATTGAAGAGTAAGTTGTAGATATTACATACGTTTCATTAGATCTCCATCCAAAAGTGCAATTAAACATTCTCTCATTAGGCACGACAAACAAAATAGAACCTAAATATTACATTTTAAGCAAGTAACAGTTCATTTACAACTTACACTGATTGGCCACGCCACTGATGGTTGAACTTCAGCCACACCTCGTATTCAACATGATATCATTAAGGAAGACGTATATTGGGTAGTTTTTCCTGACAGAGAATTACTAACCCTCGGTTTTATTTGCATATACATATGCACACATTATATACTGTACACATATGTCTGCAGATCATAAGGTATTTTAGAGCAAACAGACACTTCTACAATGGTTAAACTTTCCAATTTATGTACAAAGTTCATAAATCCACAACAAGTTCATCTATACATTAGTTAGCCACTTACTAGTGTGACACCTTTGATCATGTTCTGTACATGGCTGCAGATTGTGCGCACGGTGGCCAGTTCCTTCCTGTTACCCCACCATTTATCAACTCGAAGCTGGGAAAAAGAAGGCACCTAAGTTTAACAAACTGACAGCCATAAATACAGTTTAAGCACATTTGCTAACATGCTGCACTAGGACTATTTTACTAGTCCAAAATATTCACAATACAGATCATTAGGCCTTATCTGGACAATTTAATTTGGACTCCAGAAAAATATATTATTATTAGGATATACAAATAGAATCTAAAAATATTTTATAGGTCAGCATATTCTTTAAAAGCTGCAAGCAGCACTATGAATAACATATTATATAGAACATGAAAGCACAGGACCATTTGACCCAAATAGGTGTTTATACTCCTCATGAGTCTTCTTGCCTCCTAATCGTTTCTATTTTCTTCTCCCTTATGTATCCATCGAGTGTTTCAGCAGCAAGTGTAACTTGCCAGTTAAAGATTACTATACACACCTGGACCAGTATCAGTCTACAAAAAAACTTGGCAGTTCCTTCCCCCCTCATAACCAAGGGCGCGGGATAATCTCAGAGATTGCTAAACTATTTTACATTAGCAAATTAGCAGAAAGTCAATACAGATGCTACTATGCTTATGTTTGAGCACTTAAACATGAATAAATTACTGTGATTTCCATCTGTCTTTGTGTACGTATTAGGATTAGGTGCACATTTTGTGCACATTGTGAACAATTGCAAGTACAAAATGATCTGACAAAAATGCTCTTGAAATTCTTCGGTTTGGATCCATGTAAACCTAATAATTAAGCACCAGAGAAAGCTGCACAGAGTATTCACAGCAATTAATGTATAAGATCCCCACATCTTCCAATATCACTAGTTGTGTAGATTTAAGATGAAACGTTTTATAAACATTTCAGAGAGACTCTTTGTGAAATCTTGCACTATACTGGAAAGGAATCATTGCTTAATTCACATTACAACAGTAAATACATAGATGTTTTGACGTTGGCTTAAAGAATGTATACAGGACAATTCAAGAACTGCAAGAAAAAACAACTAGATGTTGCCAGAAACTTGAAAGACAACTCAAGGTTAAATTATGGTTCTTCATATATTTGAACTTCTTGATTATATTCAGACAATATCATTAGACTACTAAGTATAATCCCTCCAAAACAAAAACAATAATAAATTGATCATTTTCAATCCACAACTGTTTGTGGGACACTGCTGTGCGCAATTGGCTGCCGCGTTTCGCCCACAAATATACGGTCAATTCACTTTACAGTCTATTCTGTGAAGCGCTTTGAGACATCGAGAAGACATGAAAACGCTATATCAAATGCAAGGATTATTATTATAGTATATCAATTTGGGCAAACCTCAATCCAGTTCTAATTGAACATGGGACGACAGGCCAGCTGCATTGGAGCAAACTCACTTCTTGGGGCAATGAAGGCTGATAGGTTTGGAAATTAAAATTTAGTGCATTGGGAGAGATAAAGAGCAGGACAAGAGAGATGAGAAAGAGGGGGAAGTAAGGAAAGGATATTTCACTCTACACCATGCTACACAAGTCCTTAAAGTACTGATGTGAGGTGTCAAGCAAAATTAGGATTTTCATTTTGCAGCATTTTTGAGCATCCAATGCAAAAACTCATGAGGATAGAAATTGTTATTTAATAAAGGAGCACATCCAACACTTCCTACCTTCTTTTTCTTAATGCCAAGCAGGCTGAGCTCTAGATTGATATGGTTAAACTCTCTGCGCAATGTTCCGCGTGGACCCTTTACAACGACTCTACGGCCTTTCAGGGCCACTTCAACTGCAAACAAGAAAACCCATTTTAGTAATAAGCACAAGCAGACAACAATCATAATAAAAGCAGAATACGATGAAAAAGGAGTAAGAGGAACATACCATTGTCTGGGATGTCAACAATCTGATTGCTGAGAATGGTCTTCATTCTGAAATACAATGACAAACATGATTTAGGATAATTGATAAAACAATTCATTCAGCAACATTTTATATGCCTCAGACAATCACTAAAGATCTTAGCACTATTTGAAAAGGGAGTTTCTCTCTCCCTGTGTCTTGGTCAACAATCCTGAAATAAAATTGACCATTCACTTCATGGCTGTACGCAAACTCTGCCCACAAATGCAGGCACAATAAGCACCTGTGAAGTGCTTTGGGATGTCCTTCCCGACAATTATAGCCGCTATATACCAAATGCCAGGATTATTGTACACAAACTCTAGAAAAGGATTACATTCTCAAAGCAGCAACAGCGAGAAGTTGAAGATTTCTGAATAATAAACCTTACTTTTGTTATAGCACCTTAGAACATTATCAAATCAGCTCAAACTGTTTGACCGCAAAGTGTAACACCTACAGGTAGTAAAACACAAACCAATTATGGACAGTAAATGCTCCGCAAATAGCCACAAAGTAAATAACCAATTTATCTGATGGATTGTTGGGGCCAGACCCTTTTTTATCCAAAGGACAGCATCACCAACAAGAAGAGTAGTCTTCAATCGTTGCAGTGGAGAGTGAGCCAAGACTACGAAGCTCGAATTCCCCCCGTAGGGGTCTGACCCCCAAATCTTCCAACTCAAGAGGCAAGAGCCCTATCAAGCGAGCCAGGCCGAATGTCAGGAAAGCAGGTGAAGTGATAATAACTGAAGAGACCACATCAATGCAGGTTTTTTTCCCCGAAAGTGCTAATAGAATATAAAGTCGATGGGTTTCCACAGGAACATTTTATTAATGGTCGCCGTTGAGCCCAGTGTTTTACACACTCAGTCACACACACACACACTTGCAGTCACACACATACACGCACACACTGACACACACTTGCACACAAGTCACACACACAGTCTCACACACACAGCCACACACTGACACACACTGACACACACACACACTCACTGACACACACACACACACCACTCACTGACA